AAATAGGATTCTGGGTTGCAGTACTTTCCTTAATTTACTGAAGCCATTTTAATTATATTTCTATGTCAATCAATCAATCAAAGTTTATTCTCTATAAGGATTACAATGTGGGGTTTACAGATTTTGGTTATTGTGTGGTTTACATGTAATAAAATACTAATTACAGAGGGGGCCACTAGAACACCTAGCATGGCTAGGCATTTCGGGCAAACTTAGATTAATTCTTAACCCTAAATTATTACAAATTGTGGAGTAAGTAGACTAAATACTAAGTGACTAAATACTAGTTTGTGAGTTTAGCAATGTGAATGCTTTTGTTGTGGCACAATACATAGTTTCTATATTGGAGTAACACAAGCAAACTTGTGACTAGTTAGGAATCATTATTTTAAGATTAAGATACGTATTTCTGTGCTTATAGTCAAATGGGTGAGTGAGTGAGTAAGTGTGAACCACAAGGTGGTTTTTATGTAGTTAGTTGACGGGGTGTATCAGGGAGATATGTTTTCTAACAGTAGTTTTGAAGGTGATGAATGTGTCTGTAGTTCTAGAGTTTTCAGGTAGGGTGTTCCAGATTTTAGGGCCTTGGACATACATTGAATTTTTGTAAAGGTTTAGTCGGACACGGGGAATGTCGTAGAGATGTTTGTGTCTGGTATTATGTCTGTGGGTCCTGTCACAACTATCAAGAAAGCATTTTAGGTCAAGGTTAATATTGGAATTTCAGGTCCTGTATATGTAGATTGCACAGTAGTAAGTGTGGATGTTCTGAACAGGGAGTAAGTTTAGATCTATGAAGAGTGTGGGGGGGAGTGTTGCCAGGGATGGGATTTAGTGATTATTCTTACTGCGGCTTTTTGTCGAGTTATTATTGGCTTTAGATGTGTTGCTGCAGTTGATCCCCAAGCACAAATAGCATAGGTGAGGTATGGATAAATGAGAATGGTATAGTGTGAGAAGGGCATTTTGAGGCACGTAGTATCGTATCTTGGAAAGGATCCCAACTGTTTTGGATACTTTTTTTGATATGTGTTGGATATAGGTGCTGAAATTCAGGTTGTTGTCGAGGTATAGGCCTAGGAATTTGCCCTCATTATATCTGATTCTATAACCAGTATTTTTTATTTTAGAGATTCTGAGATGACTTGTTGTTCCCTTTGTAACTTGCATCTTACCTTTTCTGTTAATCTCAGGAGTTTGTAGTGCACTGCTAGTGCCACCACACTCGTCCTCTCAAGGAATTTCAGATTAATACTACCTGCCATATCCTCCTGCACTTTTCAGAAAGATCCTGATTTTTTTGATCACAGTTAATGCAAAATCACACAAAAAGATATTTAGTCGCTAACCTCCTCATCTAGCTCTTATTCTCAACATGTGCACATAGTACCATTCTCCCTGTTTTCCCCTACCCCCTCTTTAATATGAACGAAATAAAATAAAATGGAAAACTTGTATTTCATGCACAACTTGGTCATACACACAATTCAACTTTAAAACTGTACATTTATACATATTCTAGAGTACACAAATAACCCACACATAGGAGAGAGAAAAAGCTTACAGTGTTTCAGTCCAACTTGGACTATTTACAAAGTATGTAACTTTGTAACAGCAGAGCCTAAGCCGGATCAAAACGTCGTAAGCTCCTTTCTCCTAAGTGCAGGTTAATTGTGTATTGTTCCAGTCATGGTACTCTGCCTTTTTTGTTCTTTATATTCTATTGTGTTTTATCCCAATTTTTTATGTACATATATTAAGTTATATACAACTCTATTGTAAGTTTAGGGGAATAAATTAGTTAACATTTTTTTTAGGCAAACAGAGGGACTGACTTATGACCGATAATGCAAAAGTAGACAAAAAATAAAATAAAACAAAACTAGGTTACGATTAACACTGAAACATCTTCTGAGGAATTAAAGAGGAATACTGACTTGTATGAAGGGCATTTAATGGATAATTTTCTAGGATTCTAAAAAAATAGTAGGAATAACAACTCCATGGAACCTTGGTTACATAATTAAAAAAAAATTAATAAAACTAGATTATCACAGCAAATAAGTGTGATAAACAGGAATGAATTAGAGATATATGGTACACTGGATAAGATGCTTGTACATGTAAAGACAGATGTTAACAGTAAGTTATTTATATATTGAAATATAAATTATATATATATATATTTTTCAACACGGCCATGTTGTATATATATATATATATATATATATATATGTATATGTTAATATCATAAATAAATAAAAACTTTTGATAATAAACTGGTACCTGAGATCAATGAGTAACCAGATCCAGAAATATAAATACAATATATGTACATTATATCCAATTGGTAAACTTGGAAACGTTGACAAATACAGCTACTGTGCGACACAGAGATATAGTAAAACAAGTGGAGCACTTGGTAATATTGGGGAGAGGGAGTACCTGGTCTCAGGCAGGGTTCTCAGGGATAAAACAAGAACCATCAACATCAATAACCTTCTCAGGCTGGTCATGTCACTCATCAGAGCTGTGGCACTCACAAGCCACTGTATTCTCAGTGGCTGCACAGAGACTTGCTTCAATTACATGACTCACCACATCAAAGCTCAATCTTGAAATACCTCAACTATGATTACTTAAAAATGATACACATATTGAAGAGTACATGGTTGGCATATTATACGAAGTAAAATTCTCGGATTACAGCGTTATAAACACTGATCTATGAAAAGTGAGACACCATTTGGGTAGAAAAAAAAGGACAGGTATGAGAGATCCATATTCTTTATCCTCAGTCGATACTCTTTTTAACAGACCCTTCTTTACCCAAAAAGGGTCTATGAGACCAAAAAATACAGATCACTTATTAATGTTTATTTTTCTATCCAAGTAGTTTCACACGAAGTAAAATGTTTGGTTAATAAATGCATTTTTTCATCCTGAAACTGTGGGTGATAATATGAAGACAATCCTAACAAATGGCAGGTTGTGGTCAACAGTTTCTTGTGAGTGAAACTTGCTTCAGTAAAATTATTCGGTAAAAATCTGCATGCGCTAATAAATGCTATCATGCCTTCATGCTCCATAGAAAATTTTTAAAACATGCTTAAAGGTTTGCAAATTCACCACAAGAATTTTGCCGGCATTCTAAAAGTAATACAATTCACAGATCTGCCGATAGAACCAGAGGTGGTACAAAGTTCCACTGAAATGGTTACCTTTACATTGCACAAAAGAAGTCAGTCACATCAGAGGTCCCAACCATTCATTCAAATGACATATCATAAAGTATCTGTTGTCTTTTTAATAAAGCTGAAATGCATTGCTGTTGAGAACAACCATTTCCTTCTAAAACTTTGTATTTCATCCACTTAATTTGCCAAAAATTAAAAAACAATCCAGAATGAACAATAGATTGCAATACAAGTAGATGGAACACTTAAGTTAGAAGAAAATGGAATATTCTAGTGTAAGCCAATGGCCATCACCCAACAAACAGCAGGTTGAGGTGAGACATGATAAACAGTGTGTCAGAATTGGCAGTGAGTGTGGTGGTGGCTTGAGAGGCAAGTTGAAAAATCAGATGACAGGAGAAAGTAATGAGAATATAAAGTATATAAGAATGGTAGCTAAGAAGAAATTATGAAGATCAAATATTTAAGCTTGTAGAATATCCTGTCTTTCTTGGAATTATTTATTCATCAGTAATTATTCCACAACATGAAAGCATTTAGATGAAGTTTCTCCTCCTCAGAACAGAGAAAATACTTTCCACATGATGCAAAGAATGCCACACTACTTGCAGTAATTAACATGACTTACTAGCAATCTCTACATTTCTAGCAGTAAATCTACATTATTTCTAGTTTATTACTCTGCAGTCCATTCAGCTGGCTACTAGACCTAACATTATACATAAAATCAGGCAGTAACTCAAGGAGAACACCATCACCATTTTAACTAAATATGTTTATCACTATAGGACTAATCTTCTCTCATTTATTAATACTGAAACACTATATATCCTTCTAAATTTTTTACTATGTATCTATCAGTTACATCATGAACAGGTACTTAAGTACTGTACTGTATATGTGAATTACATAAACCATGAATGATAAAAGCAAGTTCAACAAAGTTATATAACAAATTTTAATAATAAAATTCTCTTCAATACTACTACTAATCTATTTGGCATTGAGTTTCAGCTACTGCACTGAAGCAGTGTACATTTACTCATCTCTAAATAATTGAACACTTACTATAATGCATCTTTGAACATTTCCTCAGCAGTATTTAGGAAGGGTTTGTAAGAAAGTCCTAAATGGCATATCAGTTATTTCTGCACAAGGCTAAGTACTGGTAAATTATACGTTAACTTAAAGACTCGGATAATCAAAATAAGCAAAATCAATTGTACGACTGACTATCAGTGATTATGAATGCTTTCAACAATTCATATTCACATTTGGCTATGAATAGGTTTACACTATAATAAAACAGCGTTCTTCTTAGTTACTGCCTTCACCCCATTCTAGAAGTACAATACTAAATTATATTTTTAACTAACTTGGACTTCTTTTTTACATATGACAGATGAAGAATTTACAATTTTTCTATCAGGGTTCAAAATTTGTCATAGGGAGAGTACTGTATAAACAATATCAGCTTAGAGAATTAAATTCTGGACCAAACAAGTCACAATTGAAGGATTTGTAGGATGAGTGAACACTCCTATGCTGAATGTTTAAAACCTTATTTTATAATGATACTTTGGGTAAGGAACAAGTAAATCCTTCATGAAGTACTTGAACAGTGTTCGGCTCACGAGAACATTAACAAACACTGGCCTTATGATTAATTACTCTAGCATGTGCAGAGTAATGCTTCCAGTGTTTCTCAGTATTCTAGCAACACTAACACCATGTATCAAGGTTTCAATATGAAGTCCAAGTGTATATGTAAACAACAGCACTTAGGAAATGAGTACTACTTACAATCTTAGGCTTGAAAGGCGGCTGAACTTCTCGATTCTCTAACTTCTCCCAGTCAAGTCTCCTGAAGAAAGGATGTGTTCGAACATCCTCTTCACCCTTGGGGCCACACCCTAGTCGCTTCTGGGGTTGCTTGGTCAGGAACTGAGAAAGAATACAGGTTTCATTTTCCACTGACTACCATACGTAATTAAGTTCTTAGTGATACCTCGGGTGTAAAAAGTTAGTGGAAAATTAGGGGTGAATCTGGTTAAAATAATAATTAAAACAATAATAATTCTGTTTTTGCTGTTTTTTATATGTTTTTTTTTTATTTTTATTATCTTCACTTCTGAACCCTTTCATTCTCCAGACCACCAAAATTAATATTACTCTCAGTGCTCACTTTTTAATATGCATGTATATATATATGTGTGTAAAGGTAGAAAGTTGAAAGTGAACACAGAAAAGAGTAAGGTGATGAGGGTATCAAATGATTTAGATAAAGAAAAATTGGATATCAAATTGGGGAGGAGGAGTATGGAAGAAGTAAATGTTTTCAGATACTTGGGAGTTGATGTGTCGGCGGATGGATTTATGAAGGACGAGGTTAATCATAGAATTGATGAGGGAAAAAAGGTGAGTGGTGCATTAAGGTATATGTGGAGTCAAAAAACGTTATCTATGGAGGCAAAGAAGGGAATGTATGAAAGTATAGTAGTACCAACACTCTCACATGGGTGTGAAGCTTGGGTGGTAAATGCAGCAGCAAGGAGATGGTTGGAGGCAGTGGAGATGTCCTGTCTAAGGGCAATGTGTGGTGTAAATATTATGCAGAAAATTCGGAGTGTGGAAATTAGGAAAAGGTGTGGAGTTAATAAAAGTATTAGTCAGAGGGCAGAAGAGGGGTTGTTGAGGTGGTTTGGTCATTTACAGAGAATGGATCAAAGTAGAATGACATGGAAAGCATATAAATTTATAGGGGAAGGAAGGCGAGGTAGGGGTCATCCTCGAAAGGGTTGGAGAGAGGGGCTAAAGGAGGTTTTGTGGGCAAGGGGCTTGGACTTCCAGCAAGCGTGCATGAGCGTGTTAGATAGGAGTGAATGGAGATGAATGGTACTTGGGACCTGACGATCTGTTGGAGTGTGAGCAGGGTAATATTTAGTGAAGGGATTCAGGGAAACCGGTTATTTTCACATAGTCGGACTTGAGTCCTGGAAATGGGAAGTACAATGCCTGCACTTTAAAAGAGGGGTTTGGGATATTGGCAGTTTGGAGGGATATGTTGTGTATCTTTATACGTATATGCTTCTAAACTGTTGTATTCTGAGCACCTCTGCAAAAACAGTGATTATGTTTGAGTGTGGTGAAAGTGTTGAATGATGATGAAAGCATTTTCTTTTTGGGGATTTTCTTTCTTTTTTGGGTCACCCTGCCTCGATGGGAGACGGCCAACTTGTTGAGAGAAAAAAATATATATATATATACATATATACATATACACATATATATACATATATATACATATATATACATATATACATATATATACATATATACATATATACACATATATACATATATACATATATATACATATATACATATATACAGTGGACCCCCGCATAACGATGGCATCACATAGCGATTTTTCCGCATACCGATTACTTTTATCGCAAAATTTTTGCCGCGCATACCGATTAAAAACCCGCTTACCGATTTTCGTCCGAGACGCGTCCAATGTGCCCTCACATGTGCCGGCCATCCCATTGTTTACCAGCCAGCCTCCGCGGTAACATCCAAGCATACACTCGGAATATTTCGTATTATTACAGTGTTTTCGGTGCTGTTTCTGGAAAATAAGTGACCATGGGCCCCAAGAAAGCTTCTAGTGCCAACCCTGTGGTAAAAAGGGTGAGAATTAGTATGGAAATTAAGAAAGATTTTGAAGGGTTTGGGGCTAACCCTGAGAAGCCTATGCCAGTTGTGGAATCCATTGTGCCTACTTCAAAGATTAAGGAAATGTGTGCACAGTGGGTTGAACTGCAAACCTTTATAGATGAAAATCACCCTGACACAGCTGTTGCAAGCCGTGCTGGTGACTATTTCAATGACAATGTTATGGCCCATTTAGGAAAGTCTTGAAGGAACGGGAGGACAGAGCTCTATGGACAGATTTGTTGTGCGACAGAGGTCCAGTGACTCTCAAGCTGGTCCTAGTGGCATTAAAAGAAGAAGGGAAGTAACCCCAAAAAGGACTTGCTACCTCAAGTCCTAATGGAAGGGGATTCCCCTTCTAAACAGTAAGAAGATAATGCTCTTCCCTCCTCCCATCCCATCAATCATCACCAGATCTTCAAAAAAAATGTCATTAAATTGTGCATGCCCTTTTTCAGTTTGTGTGTATTTAAAATTACATTTCATGTGGGAAAAAAAATTTTTTTCATACTTTTGGGGTCTTGCACGGTTTAAATTTTTTTTCCATTTTTCTTATGGGGAAAATTCTTGCATAACGTTATTTCGCTAACGATGACCCTTTGAGGATTTAAAAACGTTTTTAACCGGGGGGCCACTTACATATTATACTAAATTACATATATATACATATTACATATATATACATATATATAAAATAATATACATATAATAAATAAAATAATACATATATAACATAATTAATACATATTATACAAATATTAAAAATATAAATTATACATAATATACTATATATACAATATAATATACAATATATACATATATATATAACTATATATACATTTTATTACATTATAACATATATATACATATAATACATAATATACAAAATATAATATATAACATATATATACATATATATAAAAATATACAAAAATACATAATATACATATTAACATATATACATAATATACATAATTAAAATTTTAAAAAAAACATATAACAAAAAATATACAATATATAATATATACATAAAAAATATACATATATACATATATATCATATAACATATATACAAAATATAACATATATACTATAATACAATTTAAAAATCAAATTTTATACATTATATACAAATATATACAATATATACATATAAAAAAAAAAAAAAAAAAAAAAAAAAAAAAAAAAAAAAAAAAAAAAAAAAAAAAAAAAAAAAAAATATCATATACATATATACAATTACATATATAACATAATATACAATATATACTATATATACATATATATACATACCTATATATATATATATACATATAATACATATACATATATATAAATAATATATTACATATACAATTTTATATACATATATACAATAATATACATAATACATATATTATACATATATACAATATATACATATATACAAATATATACAATATATAATATATATAATATATAATATTTATACTAACATTATACTATATATAATATTAAAATATATATACTATATATACTATATAATTATATATAATATACATAAATAGAACATATACATATATATACATATACATAATACATATATAAATTTTATACATATAACAATACCCCTATTAATATATAATTCATAAACTAAACAATACTATATAAATATAAACTATATACATATAAACATATCATATCTACATATATAATATATTAACCCTATTTAAAATATATACAAATATACATATTATACTATATAAAATTAATACAAAAAATATACATATTATACAGATATACATATAACCTGAAAACAATGATACATTTTTAATATACATATATAAATCTTATAAATATAAAATATTTTTACCTTTTATACATTATACAATATATAATATATATAATAATCTTAATACTTTTTAACATAAATAATTATAATTTATACATTATACATATATTAATATAAAAAATTTTATATAATAATTTACATTTATATTTAAATATAAAATTATTACTATTAAAAATTTAACATAAATTTTCATATTTAAAATATACTATATATACTATTTTTTTTTAAAAATAAACTTTAAAAATAAAATTACATATATATACATATATTATAATATTTTACAATTATAATAAATACATATATTACATATATAATTACAATCAAAATAAATAAATAAATTTTTACATATATACATATAAAATACCTATATTAAATAAACTATATATACATATTTAAAATACATATTTATATATACAAAATCTTATAAATACATATATACAATATACATTTTAAAAAATATATTTCATATACATATATATACATTACATATATATACATACATATAATACATATACATTATATCATTTTACATATATATACAATACTTATTACATATACAATATATACATATACATATATTAAAACATATATATACATATACAAATATAAAATTTTCATATTATTAATAACATATTTTACATATACATAAAAATAAATCATTTTTTTTTTTTTTTCATAACAAAATCATATAAAAAAAACAAAAAATAAAAATACAAAAAAATATTCTATATTAACATACAATACTACATTCATATACATTACATAAAATTACTTTTTTTTTTTTTTTTTTTTTTTCAACAAGTGGGCCCGTCTCCCACCGAGGCAGGGTGACCCAAAAAAGAAGAAAATCCCCAAAAAGAAAATACTTTCATCATCATTCAACACTTTCACCACACTAGAAAATTTATCACTGTTTTATATACATATACTATATATACATATATACATATACATATATAATACATATACATATATATACAATATACATACATATACATATACATACATATCCCTATATATACATATACATACATATAAAATATATATACAAATACATACATTACATATACATATATATACATATACATACATATACATATACATACATATACATACATATACATATATATATATATACATATACATATATATACATATATATATATATATATTAATATATATATATGTATATATATATGTATATGTATATATATATGTATATATGTATATGTATATATATATATATGTATATATATATACTAAAGAAGGAACCCTCTACCACCATCACTACGACCTTCTTCCACTATTACAACTGTTACCACCATCACTACTACCTTCTACCACCATCACTACTTCCTTCTACCACCATCAACCACTATCACAACTGTTTCCACTC